GGATTGCAGAACAACACAAACACTTACCTAGTTAAATAAGTGAATGATATCATTTACTGAAAACAATAGCTTATTAACGTAAATGCCAATAATATAATTTTAATTTTTGAAACAAAAGCAAATCAAAGTTAATGAAAAATTATTTTTTGCAAAAAAGTCTATTTTTCAATAGAGCTGTATGTATTGTAAAATGTTGTAAATTTTGTATTGTATTGTATTATTGTATAGTTCCAATACAAACTTTACTTCATAGATACAAAACTAACAGCAAATGTGATATAATTGAAGGAATAAATATCCAGATCGAACCGGTGAAATGTTAGAAAGAGGAGGTGTTTTCCTGTGTGTAGTCTTCGGTCACCCAAATGTTATAATACAAAAACTGAATACAGCTCGTTGAAGTTAAGTTGCTTATTAACGATATAATCAGTGAGTTGTTAAATAAACTTCATTTTGATTAAGGGAAAAGAAAATCTGTACTACTACAAAACTACCTAACTCAACCCTTTTATTGTTGTATATGAAAATCATTCAATTTACAATCCTCTAGATACGTATAACAAACAAACCATATGTACACAAATGCCGCTTTGATCTTAAGTTAAAAAATGTTTAAAATTAATGTTTTGTTTCAAAACTTGAGCAAGTTTTGGTAAAAGTTGGCATTTTCCTATTGAAAGGATTATCTAGATAGGCCCAGGTAAAACTGTGTTGAGTTGCGCTTTTGAGTTGATGCCGCTCTCTAAGTTGTTGAGTTATAACTCATCGTACCTCTCTGCGGCGCACCTCGAATTGCGCTTGTAGCGGAATAATTTTTCAAATCAGAACGTTTAAAGGACGTTTTTCATTTGTTCAAATTTCGTTATTCTGTCATCACTCGCTACATTTTTAAATGATTTTTTCGATTTTTTTTTAGTAGATAGTTTAACCAATATTTGTTGAAAAACAAAGTTAATTCGGTTTTTGATATTAATTTTGGCGATGCGGTTTAACTACTGCATCTGACTGAAATTCAGACAAATATAAATGGCTCTAAACTTAAATTTAAAATAGTGAAAAAAGATGGCTTGGAGCGTTTTTCGTTTAGCTGTAGTTCACTTTCGTTAAGTTAGAACGTGAAATTTGTCTTTGGGAATATTTATACTTTATACAAAAATGCAGTAAACAAACTGAAATCGAAACTCATGGGTTTTTCGGCCTTCGTTGGGTAGAATTTCTTCTTGACGTTTTGCAAGCACGAGTGACTAAAGGTTTGCTTGAAGGCTTACACTGTTCTGAGCACACTGTTCAAGCAAACCACTTCTGAAGATGCAAGCCACTCGTGCTTGTAAAACGTCATGAAGAAATTCTACCCAACGACGGCCTAAAAACCCGAAAAACCCATTAGTTTCAAGGAATGGCCTCGAAAGTCTTTCTCTTTTGATAAACTGAAATCGAACTGCCAAGTAAAGCATGGATCATCGAAAGGGCGAACAATTAAATGATTAAATAATCATGTTTATTCGGGATATTCAGTTTGCTACCGACAGTGGACGAAATCGGTCGATAATCCATTGTGTAGTGTGAATCGCATTCTTAGAAGGAAAATATAGAATCATTGTGGCCCTTATGGCAAGTGTGAAGAGAAAATGGAGGATGTTGCGCCAGCTTTCAGAAAGCTGGTGAGAATGATTTATAATCTACAGGGTGTTCCGTAAATATGTTAAAATATTTTAGCAGCGTGTTCACCTAGTCATTTTAGAGGGGGGTCTTCCTGACAATTTTGTTAATTTGAGGTCTCATTTTTGAAATATTTGATCTCCAAAATGGCGAAAAATATTAGTTTTGTTGTTTTTATTTAAAGCGGTTAAACATTGGGAACTTAAATTTTGGTGCACATTATAAGCTAATTGAGTGCCATTCTATGCTAATGTTTTGTAGTTTAGTTTACTTTTATACAGGGTAGAAATGTGGAACTCCTACTTTTGTTTTGTTCGGAACTTTTTGTGTGCACTTAAACTTTTATCAACATAATTTTTTCAATTACTACAAGTTGCTTATCAACTTTTTTATTGTTTTTTTCTTAAGGACACTAGTTTGCCCGCAAAACAAATTAAAGTGTTTCAGCTTAATCAAAACTTTCCAGGCCGTTCGATTGCTAGAGGTCAAGAAGCTCCTAAACACTCGCCTCCTAGATCTCCCGATCTAAACGCGCTTGATTTTTGCTTCTGGGGCCAGTAAAAAAATACGGTGTATTCACCAGAAGTGAATACAATCGAAGAACTTTAGGAAATAATATTTAATATTTCTAACGAAATAAAAACTTCAGTGCAAACTTTACGGTCTGCAAGTTAACATTAGAATGGTTATTTAAATTTAGTTTTGTTTGTTTATCTCGTTGGGCATATTGTATCCATGTTTTTATTTAAGTAAAAATTACGCAAACTTAATAATTGTAATCTGAACCAAAATACACAATTTAGAAAAATAAATTAGGTTGTTAAGAATCAACCAATATTGCGTACCAAAATTGTTATATTAAAACGTTAATAGATTTAAAAATTAACTTACTGTTACTTACACATTTTGAGAACGACAAAGGAAACCATTTTATGTTTTTGCGGACAAACTAATGGTCTTAGGAAAAAACAATAAGAGATAAAAAAAAGTTGGCCAATAGCTTGTAGTAATTAACAAGCTTATGTCGAGAAAAGTTAAGGTGCATATAAAAAAGTTCTGAATAAAACAAAAGTAGGGGTTCCACATTTCTACCTTGTATAAAAGCAAACTGAACCACGAAACACTATCATAAAATGGCACTCAATTAGCTTATAAAGTATGCCAAAGTTGAAGTTCAACATCTTCTCCATCTCCATCTCCAAACATCTAATATTTTTCGCCATTTTGGAAATCAAATAACTCAACAACGAAACCTCAAATTACAAAAATTCTCAGGAAGACCCCCTCCTTAAAATACTAGAAGAACACGCTTTTAGAATATTTTAACATATTTACGGAACACCTTGTATAAATCTTTTAGCTTGAATTGAGTTTTATGGATTATTTATATTTCTAACTCTTTGCTTTTCTGATTTCAAATAAGTTTGGTTTGGGACAGATTTTCTGCTGTATTAAACACATTTTCTTCTTTCATTCCAGGTGGCACTACTCAGCTTTCGGTAAGGTTACCATTACTTTGCCGCAGGTTGTAATGTACGTATAACTTTTAGCCCATATTCATCAACTGCCGTAGGTTGAATTTGGTCTCAGCTAAGCTATTGGTACTTTTGTAGTTAATTTTTAAACTTAGGAAATATTTTAAGCTGCGTTGTGTTCTCATCAAGCTCATCTGAAGCTTTTCGCACAAGAACCGCTTCAGATATGGAAATTTGGGTTCCAGTATTCAATACCCGAAGCATCAGCTTGCTGATCGTGTGGATTTGGTCTCAACAAAACCATTGTATCCTTCACAAGAATTTTTTAGACTTTGGGAATATCTCGGGCGGCTTTGTATTTTTAGATCACGCTCATCTGACGCTTGTCTCGAAAGAACCGCTCAGATATGCAAATATGGGTTCCAGTGGTAAAAACCACTTTTCTTGTTTAAAAAGTCCAGAATTTTAATTCAACCTGTATTTTGCTTATTGCAAAATAGACTGAAACATAACTGCTCCCTTTTTGACGTTGCTCAAGAAGCATTTGAGCCACAGAGTTCCTTTTTATATCATTTAATAGGCGTAAAAGCGTTCATTTTCAAATCAACATTCACGAAGCGTACAAAATTCAGGACTTCATATGATTTGAATGGATTTTTGAAGAAATTTTGGCGACATTTAGAGAGCACTCTTGTTTACTTAACACGCAACTCTGAACTTCTAGAGTATTTTTTGTTTCTGAGTTTTTTGTGATAACTCATCACGGTGTCGCACTTTAGATACGATTATTTTACCATTAGCATTGAACCCGGGTGCCGATTGAAGGGTTAACAAAAGAAAAGGTCACAACATATTTTAGGAGCAACATTTTACGAAATGTGTGACCAGATGTACTGCATCAGTGAGTTACTGTGCTGGCGCGTTGGGTTGGCGCAGCAAGCCATTTCGACACTGTGCCAACTCTGAAAATTAAATGAGTTATCACCCATACCGAATCTAGAATGTAGACCAGCAATCAGCCAATAGACCGTAATATAAAGTAGTACAGAGTTGCAAAGTTAAACTTTAATGTTTAATGGTTAACATTCAACTATATATTTATTTAATAAATAAACCGTACAATTCAATTAAAGCATTTGTCTCGGACTCATCAAAATTGCACCGATAGAGCTCCAGGCAACGAAACCATTTTTTTGTAATTATAAATCCCCCGATTTCTCGAAATTGCAAAAACTTGAAGCTATTCAAGAAGTATCCGGAAGTAAAATAGAAAAAAATGTGTCTGAGACAGATAGGTTTTATCTGATATTAATGCGAATTAGCGAACAAATGCTCTTTCCAGGCTTCGAGCGTACCATGCCCAATTAGATATAATGTCAAAGCGGAAAAATATCTCCCCGACGAGTCCAGCTGGAAAATAAAGTTCAAGTATAGCCATCATTATTCTTCTTCGCTTTTTCATTCAATGTTTTTTCCGGTGATATGTTAGAGTAAAAATTAGGCCGTTTAGATTGATTCGTTTGCGTTACGAGTTGAACTATTCCACAAGAAAGCTGCAGCGAAATTAATTGGAAACAAACCGCTCGCTTGAACCTGAATGCATTTAGTAGAGTCAATAGTTTAGTTTGCGGAAAGTCCTCGTTTTTATTTCGTTGATGTTTAAGTTCGCTTTTCCACTCTCCTTTTATGATTTGTTTAAATATTTCATCATTTAAGTTTTATGTGGTGACCTCCGATAAGTTGATATATATCGTTTTTGTTATCTTACGACGATTACCGTTAAGTCGAAAAAAAATCCACTGAGAAATGGTTCAAATTAAATCAGCAAGTTTTGCAATAGCTCAAGTGGAAAACAAACAACTTAAATCTTTTCACTTGCAAATTTAATACATTGCTTACATGGCTTGCAGATACAAATAAACCAAGAATGTAAAAATATTTACTTTTGACTTTGATGAAAAAGTGCCACAGTTCGCAGTCCTTAATGGAATGAATAATATTTCAATCTAGACATAAGCCTGAATACAAGAATAGGTACAATTTTCAAAAAACCTTGAATACAAATATTTACTTTTCATCGCCACTGCCAAACATTGCAATGGCTGCATCCATAGAAGCGTGAGTTGTGTCCACAGTGAGGTAGAGCATAATCCGGAATCACTTGTCCAGGTCCTGGGGGTGGAGGGATATACTGAGGAGGCGGTTTATAGTTGGCTAAAACAGAGCGAAAGATTTACATAAGGGAATTCGTAAAATTAGCTTTTAAGCTTAGATGAGTAAATATTATCACACTACCTACTACTATCTAATTGCGCTACTAAAAGCAAAAAAAGTGGTAATATTACTTGTGGTTACTTGGCTGACAGAAACCACTCTACCGGGCCCTGGAGGTGGAGGAATTTTTTGTAGTGGACATTTCTTCGACTGTAGGACAATTGGTTGCGGTGTTGGTGTTTTGTGATAGGTGGTTGTGGTGGTCACAGTGTAACAGGGTTGATGACCTGAAAAAAGCGGAACATTCAACTGCTAACTTAGCACAAGCATATTTTTATTATTTCATAAACGTAATTTATTACACATACTGGCATGAATATGGTGCTGAACCTGCCCCGGTCTCGGTGGGGGCACCCAACCTAAAAACAAATGATACATATGAAAAGAAAGTGCATGATTTTCAATCTCTTACCAACTGGCTTATGAATGCAGTGAACATAAATATCACACGAGCAATGATTGTGGTGAAACATTGCTGCTAAATGCGAACAACTTAAAAACTTTCTAATAGCGTTTATCGATAACTTTAAGTTAATTTTATATCGCAATCAGGAAAATAACTGATAAATTTCTAGATAAGATATTTGTAGTTTACAAATTGTTCGATCACTTTATCCGAAACAATTATCATGAGGACAGTGATCGTGAAGTGTTTATACAAAGTGATTTAGAAGTTAAAGTTTTTCTTTCGGGCGACTGTACTCAAAAGTTTGCTTGAGGCAACTGAGAGCAGTAAAGTTTGCTTGAAAAAATAAAAAAATGTCGCCTGCTTATTTATTCTCAAATGTTTTCTTGCGTTTCTTCATAATTCTCAACAAGAGAATTCTAAAGACGCTTGCCTTTTGTAGATTTTTCTTACCTACCTATTTGCGTTTCATATGCACATTTTCCTCGACTATGTTTGTTTTGCTGCACTGTGAATTACCACATAAATTATATTCTTATTCTTCCTGGCTCTCAATGTGAAGTAAAAATTTTGTATATCCTTTATTTCATTACGTTTCGGCGAGACAACATCGCCTTCATCAGATTTAAAACTTTACACAAACTACAAACACCAATTCACAACTAAAACATGTTGTAGGTATACAAACTATAATTTATAAAGCGTTAAAACATTCATCAGTTCTTGATGGAAAAAATTCTTCCTGCTGGGAGAGCAAAACATTTGAAAACTTACCTCATAATTGGTAAATAATAACGTTCTTTTAGGTCTTTGCCTTCTTGAAACCTCAAATTTCTCTGAATTATTTTCTACATTTGCGAGAATGGTATGTATGTATTGAGATAAGCAGAAGTAGTTTTAATTTTTCACTAGTGTACAGGGTGTTCTATATTCATGGCTTTATTAGGGTTTGGTAAATGTTGCTAAGGTTGTCGGTATATGATCAGAAATTTATTACTTTTGCATCTGTTTTTATTTGTATCATTTCTTGGATTCTCCTTTTCTGATAATCTGTTTACCTAACTGATATATCTGCGTTGTTAAAATCTAAATTATGTAACATTTGGTGTGCATGTTGTGTTAATGCTATTTTGTTTTCACTAGTATTTCTCAGACTTTATTTATGTTCGTACATTCTCTTTTTTAAATATTGTTTAGTTTGTCCTATATATGTATTATCACATTCTAAACAATTCACTCTATATACAGTATTTGGTACATCCATTATGTCAGTTTTTGGTTTTAGTTTTGGGAAACATTCAGTTGATAAGTTGTTTTTTGTTTTTTTCGCAATTATAATGTTGTGTGGTTTTAGTTTTTTTGATATTTTTTATTGATTTCAGGAACATATGGTAGTGATATGTATTGATTCTTTTTTCTTTTCTGTGTCTCCTCCTATATATGAATATAATAACAAGTACACGCAGTCAGGAAAATAAATCAGAATTACCACAGAAATGTTACGTTAAGCCGGCGTTAACTTAAACTGCTATTTAAAAAAATTCCTCCACATAGAAAGAGATTGGTTCAATAGTCTTGAAAGGTAAATTTCTAGAAACCCACAATTCTACTGAAATCAGTTTTTTTAAATCGTATTTTAAAACGTTCACTCTTCAGAAAAAAATACTTATAAAGTTTTAAATTGCGAGTTAACTAAAGTTCCTCTCAGGAACTGGGAAGCATGATTAAACTCCATTCTAAAATGCAACGGCATTGTCCTTGGGGTTTGAGCAACTCATCAACAACATAAAATCCACTTCCAAAATCCATAAATCATAATAAAAAACTATACGAGACTCTTGAGTGTTCTGAAAATCATCAAGCTCCTTAAGGAGCTACAAACGTTTTAACTCGAGTAGTTCCATTTTCCTCTATGTAGTTAAATTTTCCATAACATATTAGGGCTCGCATGCTAAAAATGCGCCTCTCGTTTAAACGGAAATTTCTCGTAGCTTCAATGTAGCAATTTATACAGAGTTTCTACCTCATAATTTTGTGGAGAGAAGAGAAAAATGACGTAGAATAGAAAAATTAGATATTGTGGTCTGGCTTTTAAAAGTGTTGATGTTTTCGCCGACTTTTCTTGGTGCCTGCTAGCTATTGAGGCATGCCATAATGGATATAATGCAGTTATCTATCAGAGTTAATCAGACAGCTATACAGTGAAATATTTAAAGCGACATACAGAGTGTGTTCGATTCGCGAGCTATAGTTTTGTGTGAGTGATTGTGATAGTTAGTATTTGGGAGTTCAATAAATTGTTGTGTTAATTTATTGGTTTACTGGAATCATTCGAACCCCGGGAAACGTAACAATATCAAGTTCTTATAACCGCGACTGGTTATACGACGAAGTTTGGAGAAATGGGACGATCTTTTTACTAGCGAGGTATTGATGGACTATTTTTTTTGGTTAAACATCATTATGTTAATTTATTCTTAATAATAAATATTAATTAAAAATAACTGATGTACACTCTGATATAAATTGTGAATTTCCTAAGTCAAGTATATCAGGATTCTTTCCATTTAAAGACCATCCAAAATTGGACCAAGTTTACAAACTGCGAGTTTCCGGAAAAATCTGTTTACCCATTGGCAAACTCTTGTGTAACTTCTCTTTCCAATCTAAAATTCCATAGGAGTCCTTTAAAATGTATTCTAGTCATGAACTAAATTGAATCAGAGTAACTTGATTCTATTTATCACAAAGTTTCATCCAGGATTTCTCAGATGCCTTAAAAAGCTTTTCACGGTTAGAACAGATAAATTCACTGAAATAATAGATCATTTACACAGACTCTAATATTTCCCGTTCGTTTCGTAGTTTTGCGAAATTGAAAATTCGCATCAGACATAATATGTTATGTAGCTAACAAATGGTAGAAAAGGATTGATAATTATGAGATTTTATAGCTGGCCTGGATATAATTGCAGGTTGAGTCCCTTAAACTTTCTGCTGATAGACAAAACTGAAAAGCCACGAAGTGTTAAAGCGGTATTTGCATTTTTTACAAAATGTCGATAAAATTAAAACTGTTTTTAATGTTTTGTGCGCATTAAGGAACATTACTTTGAAAGGAAAGCAGCTGGGCAAAAATGAAAGATGTAAATGGCCCAAACTGCAGAGATACATTTTTCATCATACTTCATACATACATCCATTACATACTTAAGCACAGTTACTTTGAAGGATATTCGCTCTTAATAGTGTGTACATTTGAACCAAACGAACGCTAAAACTTGACGACGTTCAACTTGATTATTATAAGCGGGCTTACTTTTGTGAAGAAACATACTACTTAAATCACTTTTCCATAATTTATAGAACGGCGTATTAACCAAATGTTTCCAAAATTCGAGTCACTGATATATTTGAAAAAAATGACACAAAACCAAATTAGCAATTATAATTGGCCTTGTCAGTTCAACCAGAGAAGTTAATTGCCATTAAGAGTCCTTAAAAGAAATTGATGAAGCAATTAGAACACTGTTAACTGGCGTCTGATGCTTTTTTTATTCAGATCGTCTAGGTTGTTAATTGCGCTTGCACATATAGAATTATATTTTCAGCAGGTTTTCAATTTTAACTGATTTGAGCAGAATTAGAGTTTGATTGGGAAACCTGTTTTTTATTCCAATTTACCGCAATTCTTATTATACGCAACAAACAGAGATTTTGCTCTATAACCAAAAATATTGCAGACCGAAACAAAGTATTTAAATTTCAAAATGCAATAACTGTTTATAGTCGAAATTGGAATAAAATTATTCAGGCGCACTATATTGATCCCTCGAGACTGTAGACAATATGGGAATTTGCATTTTTGATTTAGCAACCGTGCTATTGCTCATCTATAATTAGAAAACTGTTTTTAAAAACTCACTTGTTTTTAAAAATTAATGGAAAACTGTAAAACTGATTAATGGCCAATTAGGAAGGCAATATAAACATGAAAAGGATGAGAATTCGTACCTTCGTACATATTTATTGCTGTTTCTTGTCTATATACTACACTAATATGATCGTTATTTTATTTCGTGTTGGTGTTCAAAACATGTTTGCCTTATTATGATATTAAATCCAATTTCAAATCTGCAAAGGTGCTTCCTAAATACAAGTCAGTCTACAACAGTATTACAATAAAACATCTATTTTCCTGCACAAAAATGCATTCTAGGTTATTATTTATTGGACGAATTTTAAATACTTACAATTTCAAATATTTCTTGGGGAGTCTATTTTCTCTACCAAATTGAAATGTTCCTCTTTGGGGAAAATGAATGAATACTGCAATTTGTTATTTAGATTTATTTCGATATTTTCATTAACAGTTTTGGGTTATTACAATGTATATTTTCTAGCTGCATCCGTAATTTTTAAAATTTGTGAATAATTTCGGGCTGATGTTTAATTATGCTTTAAAACGTATTTATGGAAAGTGTTTGTGGAAACACAATAAACTTTTAAATTATGGTTAAACATTTTCACGCATCAGCAGATATACATACACTCATTTTATCAAATATTACATAGAAAAATGGTAAAAAAATCGAGGGATTTCATTTCACAAGTCTGTAAAACTTGTGGTTTGGGATACGCCTATTTCATAATTCACGCCTATTTCATAACCATTTCGTGCGAAAACATACTCTATTGAACTGTGGCTTTCATTTCGGTATTATTATTTACATTTTCATTTTATTGTTTCTCAGATCCGTGTTGTATGGCTGTCAGTTTTTATACAATTCCTTCCATTCCAGGTTGCCAAAACACCAACTTGCATTTGAATAAATATTTCTTTTAAGTTGTTAAAAAACTTTTAAAGCCCAAAACTTGTGTGGGATCTGCAGAGGGAGAGATCTCATGTAAGTAGTGTTTTTCTGTGAAAAGTATTTTTCCACAAATATGACAACATATCCAAATTCAAAACTATGTTACATTTGTAAACATATTTTCTGGCCACTTTTTGAATATGTTATTTAGTACAGCCAGCTGATATTATTGTGCAATATTATTATTTTATCTTTTTTTCTTTAATAAAATTCACCTTTTAGAAATAGCACTTAAACTTAAC